TACATATTTTATCATTCCAATGCGTATTCTGATGTAATACCGTAATAAGTTACACATTTTATCATTCCTATGCGTATTCTGATGTAATACTGTAATAATTTACACATTTTATCATTCCAATGTGTAATCTGATGTAATACTGTAATAAGTTACATATTTTATTATTCCAATGCGTATTTTGATGTAATACTGTAATAAGTTACACAATTTATCATTCCAATGCGTATTCTGATGTAATGCTGTAATAAGTTACACATTTTATCATTCCAATGTGTAATCTGATGCAATACAGTAATAAGTTACACATTTTATCATTCCAATGTGTATTCTGATGTAATACTGTAATAAGTTACACATTTTATCATTCCAATGCGTATTCTGATGTAATACTGTAATAATTTACATAATTCATCGCTCCAAAGCGTACAATGATGTTAGTGTGTAACAAGTTACACATTTTATCATTCCAATGTGTACTCTGATGTAACACTGTAATAAGTTACACATTTTATCATTCCAACGCGTATTCTGATGTAACACTGCAATAAGTTACACATTTTATCATTCCGATGTGTATTCTGATGTAACACTGTAATAAGTTACACATTTTATCATTCCAATGCGTATTCTGATGTAATACTGTAATAAGTTACACATTTTATGATTCCAATGTGTAATCTGATGTAAGTTTGTAATAATTACACATTTTATCATTCCAATGCGTATTCTGATGTAATACTGTAATAAGTTACACATTTTATCATTCCAATGTGTATTCTGATGTAATACTGTAATAAGTTACACATTTTATCATTCCAATGCGTATTCTGATGTAATACTGTAATAAGTTACACATTTTATCATTCCAATGTGTATTCTGATGTAATACTGTAATAAGTTACACATTTTATCATTCCAATGCGTATTCTGATGTAATACTGTAATAAGTTACACATTTTATCATTCCAATGTGTATTCTGATGTAATACTGTAATAAGTTACACATTTTATCATTCCAATGCGTATTCTGATGTAATACTGTAATAAGTTACACATTTTATCATTCCAATGTGTATTCTGATGTAATACTGTAATAAGTTACACATTTTATCATTCCAATGCGTATTCTGATGTAATACTGTAATAAGTTACACATTTTATCATTCCAATGCGTATTCTGATGTAATACTGTAATAAGTTACACATTTTATCATTCCAATGCGTATTCTGATGTAATACTGTAATAAGTTACACATTTTATCATTCCAATGCGTATTCTGATGTAATACTGTAATAAGTTACACATTTTATCATTCCAATGCGTATTCTGATGTAATACTGTAATAAGTTACACATTTTATCATTCCAATGCGTATTCTGATGTAATACTGTAATAAGTTACACATTTTATCATTCCAATGCGTATTCTGATGTAATACTGTAATAAGTTACACATTTTATCATTCCAATGCGTATTCTGATGTAATACTGTAATAAGTTACACATTTTATCATTCCAATGCGTATTCTGATGTAATACTGTAATAAGTTACACATTTTATCATTCCAATGCGTATTCTGATGTAATACTGTAATAAGTTACACATTTTATCATTCCAATGCGTATTCTGATGTAATACTGTAATAAGTTACACATTTTATCATTCCAATGCGTATTCTGATGTAATACTGTAATAAGTTACACATTTTATCATTCCAATGCGTATTCTGATGTAATACTGTAATAATTTACATAATTCATCGTTCCAAAGCGTACAATGATGTTAGTGTGTAATAAGTTACACATTTTATCATTCCAATGTGTACTCTGATGTAACACTGTAATAAGTTACATATTTTATCATTCCAATGCGTATTCTGATGTAATACTGTAATAACTTACACATTTTATCATTCCGATGTGTATTCTGATGAAACACTGTAATAAGTTACACATTTTATCATTCCGATGCGTATTCTGATGTAACACTGTAATAAGTTACACATTTTATCATTCCAATGTGTATTCTGATGAAACACTGTAATAAGTTACACATTTTATCATTCCGATGCGTATTCTGATGTCATACTGTAATAAGTTACGCATTTTATCATTTCAATGTGTATTCTGATGTCATACTGTAATAAGTTACACAATTTATCATTCCAATGCGTAATCTGATGTCATACTCTAATAAGTTACACATTTTATCATTCCAACGCGTATTCTGATGTAACACTGTAATAAGTTACACATTTTATCATTCCGATGTGTATTCTGATGTAACACTGTAATAAGTTACATATTTTATCATTCCAATGCGTATTCTGATGTAATACTGTAATAAGTTACATTTTTTATGATTCCAATGTGTAATCTGATGTAACACTGTAATAAGTTACATATTTTATGATTCCAATGTGTATTCTGATGTAATACTGTAATAAGTTACACATTTTATCATTCCAATGCGTATTCTGATGTAATACTGTAATAAGTTACATATTTTATCATTCCAATGTGTAATCTGATGTAACACTGTAATAAGTTACATATTTTATCATTCCAATTCGTATTCTGATGTCATACTGTAATAAGTTACACATTTTATCATTCCAATGTGTATTCTTAAATAAGTTACACATTTTATCATTACAATGTGTATTCTGATGTAATACTGTAATCAGTTACACATTTTATCATTCCAATGCGTACTCCGATGTAACCCTGTAATAAGTTACATATTTTATCATTTCAATGTGTATTCTGATGTAATTCTGTCATAAGTTACACATTTTATCTTTCAAATGCGTTCTCTGACGTAATTCTGTAATAATTTAAACATTTTAACATTCCTATGTGTACTCTGATGTAATTCTGTAAAAAGTTACACATTTCATCATTCCGATGCTTATTCTGATGTTATTCTGTAATAAGTTACACATTTCATCATTCCAATGGATATTTTATCATTCCAATGCGTATTCTGCTGTAATACTGTAATAAGTTACATATTTTATCATTCAAATGTGTATTCTGATGTAATTCTGTCATAAGTTACACATTTTATCTTTCCAATGCGTTCTCTGACGTAATTCTGTAATAATTTAAACCTTTTCTCATTCCTATGTGTACTCTGATGTACTTCTGTAATAAGTTACACATTTTATCAGTCCAATGTGGATTCTGATGTAATACTGTAATAATTTACACATTTTATCATTCCAATGCGTATTATGATGTAATACTGTAATAAGTTAACCATTTTATCATTCCAATGCGTAATCTGATGTCATACTGTAATAAGATACACATTTTATCATTCCAATGTGTATTTTGATGTAATTCTGTAATAAGTTACACATTTCATCATTCCAATGGATATTTTATCATTCCAATGCGTATTCTGATGTAATAATGTAATAAGTTACATATTTTATCATTCAAATGTGTAATCTGATGTAACACTGTAATAAGATACATATTTTATCATTCCAATGTGTATTCTTAAATAAGTTACACATTTTATCATTCCAATGCGTATTCTGATGTATTACTGTAATAAGTTACACATTTTATCAATCCAATGTGTATTCTTATGTAATTCTGTAATAAGTTACATTATCATTCCAATGCGTATTCTGATTTAATACTGTAATAAGTTACACATTTGATCATTCCAATGTGTATTCTGATGTAACACTGTAATAAGTTACACATTTTATTATTCCAGTGTGTACTCTAATGCGTATTCTGATGTAATACTGTAATCAGTTACACATTTTATCATTCCAATGCGTATTCTGATGTAATAATGTAATAAGTTACATATTTTATCATTCAAATGTGTAATCTGATGTAACACTGTAATAAGATACATATTTTATCATTCCAATGTGTATTCTTAAATAAGTTACACATTTTATCATTGTGTATTCTGATGTAATACTGTAATCAGTTACACATTTTATCATTCCAATGTGTGATGTAATACTGTAATAAGTTAACCATTTTATCATTCCAATGCGTAATCTGATGTCATACTCTAATAAGTTACACATTTTATCATTTCAATGTGTATTCTGATGTAATTCTGTAATAAGTTACACATTTTATCTTTCCAATGCGTTCTCTGACGTAATTCTGTAATAATTTAAACATTTTATCATTCCTATGTGTACTCTGATGTAATTCTGTAATAAGTTACACATTTTATCATTCCAATGTGTACTCTGATGTTATTCTGTAATAAGTTACACATTTTATTATTCCAGTGTGTACTCTGATGTAATTCTGTAAAAAGTTACACATTTCATCATTCCGATGCTTATTCTGATGTTATTCTGTAATAAGTTACACATTTCATTATCCGATGCGTATTCTGATGTAATTCTGTAATAAGTTACACATTTCATCATTCCAATGTGTACTCTGATGTAATTCTGTAATAAGTTACACATTTCATCATTCCAATGGGAATTCTGATGTTATTCTGTAATAAGTTACACATTTCATCATTCCGATGCTTATTCTGATGTAATTCTGTAATAAGTTACACATTTTATCATTCCAATGTGTAATCTGATGTAATACTGTAATAAGTTACACATTTTATCATTCCAATGCGTATTCTGACTAATATCGAAGTATTTTGAATGTTGAATTTGGTTTGAAAGTAATTATGTTCAGAAATCAGTTCAAACCTTACATGATTTATTACAAATCTTCACACATATTTACAACTGTAATACTAAAGTTTAATGCAGTGGTGCATTTTTCCTTAACATATATATTGTCCGATAACGAAAATGTCTGAATATGTAGTTACGTCTTAGATGTTAAATCACCATTGAAATAGATTTATAATAGATGAAAAGTACAACGCAATATCATAATTAGAAAACGTAGACCAAACATGATGCTACTCCAGAACATAATCTGAACACATCGAACACTGAGAATCGTAGGGCTAATTAATGAAGATAAAACACAAGTCAAGCTGAATTTATAACTTATATTTTAATCACAATACAACGAAAATAACGGAATGTAGTTATCGGTTACCCAAGGGTTATACATATTTCACGTCGCGCAAGAGGTCACACTGTATCATCCTGCCTGGAAAACAACAGAACAACAGTTAGACATATACAAGATAATAAAGGTATAGTTCATGTATATACTCTTATATCGTATCGGTGAAGTCAGTGACGCGGGGGATATTAACACGAATATGCTTAAGGTATCGCTAAGATTGCAGATGCGATACTATTATTTTTCAATATGATATTTCCCGCCTATTAATAACAAAATAAGGTGACTTACGTTCGGCGTAAATACCGGCTTTTGGATCATATTTTGAATTAACTTGATTTTGTCGACCAGTGGAAAATAATCTTATAGACTTAGAAACTTATTTACACGTGGTACACCTTCTTGATGGCTGTCGACTCCTTTGTATTCTATATATTATCTGGAATGTTGTCTGTCCATCCGTGGTGTGTGTTCTTGTTATATTTTCATTTTATGCCGATTTAGATATCGACTCTTAGTTAAAGTCACTGTTCGATATTAATAAACTTCAAACTTATACAATTCAATTCCGAGGACGGGGTATCACCTCCTCTGTTATTATAGAATCCATTCTCATAATTTAGAACTACCGTATATTATATTTATAAAAAATACAGTACTGAAGAAAAGGAATGTGATACCATTCTTACCATTTATTTACCAGCCATTTTGGCGGTCCCGTTCGTCAGATAATAGAGGGCGTAGAGAGTCAGGACTGTAAAATAGAATGCATGTAATGAAGATACATCTGGCGGTTGAAACGGTCAGGTGAAAATGCAAACGAAACACTAATACAACCATGTGCTTCACATTCTGCCGTGATATCTGACTGTTGGAAATATCTTTTTGCACATTGTACCTACATTTTTTGGGAAAAGAATCAGTTGAACATAAGGGCGATGCATGTATGCATAAATTGTTGGTCGATTACCCAAGCACAAACATTCGCCTTGCTATACAATGTAGGGTAGGTATCATATGGCGTTACAGCTATTTGAAAATAGTGCATGTGGATAAAGACCATTACAAAGGAGATTTTAAATAAAAAATAAAAGATATTCACCCCTTAAAATATGTCCTAAATAAATAAATCATCTGAATATCAAACTTATATACAAAAATACTCACATGCACCAATGAGTTCTCCTGTGGTTAGTCCCAAAAAGCCCGTCCGTTGTGATTGGAGGTATTGGCCAGCTAGCGCTCTGTTGTATGCGTCTCCGTAGCCGCCTCCGCCTCCGTAGCCGCCGCCATAACCGATGTTCTGAGACTGTACGAATAGGAATCCCAGCAAGCAGGGAACCACTAGGAAGAGCAAAACGTTGTTCATGATGTCAGAGGTATGACAACTGCTGCTATCCTTAACGCCTGCAACCGAGGGACTGCCGGCCTGATGAATCTCCTAACCAATTCTAACCCGGAGATTGACAGGTTTGGCGCATGTATAACTTTATAATGCCACGTGATGAACTTTGACCCATAGATGTCGGAATTCATGTTGACAAATCACGCTCTGCGCTCCCTCTGGCGGTCAAAGTGTACACTTATTTATATACACGAAAAACCTTTGTAATCTGAAATAGATAAGATCATCTTCGAATAAATTTAAGATTTTTTAAATTTGGGTTGTTTCGATAACTTTGAAAAAGTTTATTTATCAATAACTTACCTATCGTTAACTTCTGTTTTTGTTGGAATAACGTCTTCCTCATCTTTATGTGTTTACAGGTTATCATACCAACATGTCATTCTAACTACCGTCTTCATGTATTTTGGTTAATTTCATTAATTTTCAGAACTAGTAATGTTTTTGCTTGATACAATAATCATTTACTGAAATTTATAGAAAAATAAATGATACATATTGATGTGGTTTCCTTAACAATAGCGTTAATTGTATTAATTCATCATACTAATAAAATGGTATTGTTAAGTTTATTGTGAGTCAAGGCGTTTAGAGGATTGTCATACGTGTCTTACTGGTGATAGTGAAGCAGAAGGTCAGGCATTTTAACAGGTAGTCTATGATTGATACATGTTATGGGTCAATGCCATAATAAAGAACTGCTTCTAAAAAAATAGATCGATGAATGCAATAAATTAAGTTATTTGTCGTTATATTTCACTCGGTTTTGTATTTCAATATAGAAGCGACTTTTGACCTTGCTTTGAGAACATACTGTAAACTAACAGGGTGTGAACCTTTATTTTATTGTTGAGTAAGTTACCGTCTAAATATGTATAGCCAAATATGTAGAAATAAACTATGATTATGTCAATTTTATCCAACAGACAAATGACCGACCAAACTATAGTTACAAGAAATTTCATTAGTTTTATTTTGTTTTTCATTTGAAAATATTGCTGGAACTAAGGAAAAAGTTATCAAGTTAAGATATTTTTAATTACTCCAGCAATGCTTTCATTACATTTTGTATTGGGTAGGGTAAGATATTTAAAAAAAAACCTGCCAATTTACCGAAAACAATACATGAATATTAACTCAAAACTCCACTGTACAGAAGTTGATCGAAATCTGAATATGTGCAAACAGGAGAAACATGAGTTTTTCTTTTTGAAAAGTATCTAACAGTCCGCCAATATTATCGAAAATCACCAACCATAGGTAATAACTGCATGCAAATTAAAATAACCAGAAACGTATAGTTAAGATAAGAAGATCAGAGTGAGCCATTGCATAATTTTACATAAACAGCTTGTTTTCTAATCTGTTTTGTTATTATTATTAATGCTGTTTTATGATTAGAAAGAAAAGCAAGGTTTGTAATATAATAGGGGACAAAATTACTATTTGTAAGATCGATGAAATATACGAATTTGTGATAATATGTTATTTAAAATCTATTTTGTTGACTGTATACAAAACAACACATACAATATTTTAAAAGTGTGCCTATGAATGGCTTCAAAATTGTACTAGATACAATTCTAACTTTTAAAAGTGAAATTCTATTATCTTATGTTAAGGAATTTCGGCCACCCAACTTACTTATAGATTGCAAAATACTCTTATTTGTGCTGATTTAATGATTAATTTATGAAATACGACGACGTACATTTCATAACATTTATTGGGGTAACAGAAAATGTGTATCTCCTCCTGAAGCATCAATTCATTTTAAAACTTTCTTTGCGATATAATTTTAGTTTGTTATTTTTTTTTACCTTTAGAGGAATACAAAAATCAACGGGGTTCCGTTGAACCAAATAAATAATAACGTATCAATTATGTAAACTTCCAGCTTCGTAACATATGTTTTTTAAGATATAAAAAATCCATTTTTTTCAGAGCTAAAATTAAGTTGCTACAAGTAAAACTGTATTAGAAAAGTTATACAAATAATACATATCTAGTTTTTTTTAAATATTTTCCAGATGCGCATTTGCTTTTAAAATTGATTAAAAAACTAATTGATACGCTAAAAGACAGAGGATTTGAAATCACATCTTCTGTATTTGTACTGACGATATTCCGTGTGCTGAAGAATATATCCGATATGATGATACATGGTAGCGTTTCAGATGACGCGCGGCTAAACCTGCTGATGTTAAAGCTAACACCAATTAAGTTCTTGAGATCACAAATTCTTGTTAACAAGTAACATCGTCCGTGGTAAAATCCTTCAGTTTTTGTTTTTGTTTAGACTTATTTCCTGTAAGGCATAATTACAGAAGTGTTATATGTAACAACCTATTCTAGTCTATATACACCTCATACACTTCACGACAGAATGTAACAAATATATAGATATGAATACTAGTTTTTTTCCTTTACCTTAATTTGTTTATGTTTTGAACATTTTTATCCTCTAATTGATTTTTTAATTCGGTGCATTTCTGACAGAATATGTTCACAGTGTTGATTTTTCCTGTTTTAATATCATTTCGGTGATTTTTCCTGTTTTAATATCATTTCGGTTAAAAATTAAAAATAAATAACCGAAATGATATTAAAACAGGAAAAATCACCGAAATGATATTAAAACAGGAAAAATTTGGCTTAACTAATATTAAAATAACTTAGCACAACTATAATAATATCACTAACATGTATTTATTGAGGGTAGATGAGGTTACATCAAACTGAATTTTTCAAATTGTATTGTAAGATAGTTTTTGTTGTTCAATTTATTTAAACAGTGTTTTACGATGTTACTCTCATCAGTGAGATAAATGATTTTGTGATAAAAAGGTGGTATCAAGAAGCATAACTTCGTGTGAAATATAATTGCTGTTTGAATGTGACTCCATCGAATTAGCCTAGTGCAGCGTCTTTCCGCAAGCAAAAACACTCATTATATATAGCAACTACTTTATGAAATATATGTGGGATATTTAATACTATACAAACAACATAAATGTTATTTCTCACTTATAATGTTTTACTAAACATAACATTACTAGTGAACTATAAACAATATCACTACAATGCAAATACTAGTTTTTCATTACTGTTTGAGATGCCAAGTATAAATATTTCTTTGCAAAATAAAGCTTTTAGAGTAAAATTATAAAACACAGATAACAGAAAATACAAAAAAGCGAACTGTAAATTGCCGATTTCTATACAGCGTTTACTGTATAGAAAATAAATATTTATGTAGTAGACCTAAATAATTATTGAAAAACATATTCCTCAGATCCTCCCCAGCACATCTAGCGATAGAAATGATCAGGGGCTTTATCAAGTGGGACAAAGAAGGAGGTCTGTATAGGCATGTGGATGGAATGGTTCCTGAGTCATTAAATGATATAATGCTTAGTATGTTACCATTGGTTACTATATTAATGTCTTTTGTTATCGATAATTTTCAGTCATCTTCAAATATTTGAAAGTATTAGTATTTTCATTAGTTCAGATTTTTTTTTTTAAACAACATCTGTATATACATACATTGGGGATAAATATGTTTCAGGAATGGAGTAAAAAAAGATACTTTTAAGAGCGTATAGTACGAGTGAAAGAAAAAAACTACTCAAGAGTAGCACTGGCAGTAACAGGTTTCGTAATAGTAAATACAAATTAATTTCCATTATATTATTTTGTACCCATTCATAAAGTTTTCTGTTTTATTTTCAAGGTAGGTTGTCTCCACTGCTTCCAATAAAGTTTTGGCTAAAGAACATAGTCAGAAAAATGAAGATGAACATTATTGACATTTTCTTATTTCTAAAACATAGTATATATATTTCGTTCGTTTCCCTTATTAAAGTTTTTTCAGAAACAGTTTTCACATCACCTTGTATATATACCATCAATTGTATTGTGTGCTTATATTATAAATGGTAAATCGTAATCAGATATAAGAATTAAATGATAACTGTGTATGGACAAAAAAATAACATTAATAATCATTACACGTAGTTCCAATTTAATGCTTTGAAATATATTTATAAAGCGTTTAAATAAAAAACCTCTCAGTAAACTTATTTCACATCGTTATCTCGAATATAACAAATGATATCAAACTCTACGTTTTTGATCAGACATAAGTTATATTTTATATTTATATCCAGATTTTAATGTACTTTTGCGTTTTTACTTTTATGTCGAAGCAAACATACAACATTATAATTAAAATTAATAAAAATTAATATGATTCATACTGCCCCATTTTAATGCGCTAATTAAACAACTCTGAGGTAACATTTGTATGTTCTGCGCAAAAATAATAATCCTTTCAACAGTAATGCAATACATAAATACTGATTTATAACAGGCAATTTCATGTTAAGCTAGCCCTATATTTTATTCTATCTTTGCCCCTTAGATATAAAGAGGGCGCTCCTCAAAAAATGTCAAATTACTTCTTTTTATGGGAATTCAATGTTTTACCTTATTTATCGAATTTTAAAAGATTAGCGCATTGACGAATTTGAGCACTTATATTATATGTAGTAGGAAACTGTACACGGAAAGCTTCGTTAGCGGATTCATACTTTAGTGCAATCATTATTTATATCTTAATCGTGAAAAGTGTAAGTTGATAAGATAGGTATATTTACAGTTTATGTTTTGCTGTAAGACTTAGAATGAATACGGGTAGATTATTGGAATTGAAAAAAAATGGATTTAAAAAAAAATAATCTTAAAAACCCTTCATCATATCACCATGTTGCAAAAATAATGAATACAAATAAAGTACTCGAAACGTATCAATTCTTTAAACGGTTTTCGGGGTTCACAATTAATGGACAAAACTGTAATTCGTCATGTTTTTTTCTGCATTCTTTACACATAATTCTTTCTATTAATTCATAACACAAAACGAAAATTTTAAACGTAAGAAATGCACTATAAAGTGTACAAAGTACCATCACCGACACCTTAAAAATGTAACACCGGCCTGTCTTATGACATCATCATCAAGTTATGCTTCTCTATTGTGATATTACAGTCCTTGTTTTTTATCGTTATAGACGCTTACACTTCACACAGAAATACTATTTATTCTTAGGATGGGCATAATTCGTCCTTAACTTTTAACTTGTATCGATGATACAAGAGTTCATATTAGAAATAATCTGATAAACGTTTAATGATCAATTAACAATATATAAATGAAATTCAACATCAAGGAATTTGTAGCTGAAAATTAAATATTATGGTATTGTGTGTTATGAACTAGGAATTACAGCTGTTCTCAATATGTTAGTACATTCTCCAGCGATACCCACGGACCCGTCAACAGTTGTAATTGTTCAAAGGATTAGATTCATTTTTAGTTTTCATATGCATAGAAAAACCTATGTAGCTGGGGATTTATTTTTACGTTTACTCGCAAATACCTGAATACAAGTTCTGTTGATTGTTGAAATTATTACATTCATCATAATTGCAAATATACATGATTGCTATTTAAATAGACATAGTTAGCAGTAATAAGTCTTGACAGTAATAAGTCTTTATGATAATCCAATTTTTGCGATATTCAGTATTTATTTCGCACTTAATGTTATTTAACATTTTTTATGTTACATGTAGTATCGCTTATAAAGCGCCAACAATACGTGAGTTTACTTACTGATTCACAGTATTACTAGAAACTGTTATGAAATCGCCTTAGAAATACTAAAAAACACATATAAAACATGATAGACACATAATGATGATATTGATTAAAAGATAAACACTGATAAAATATGCTAAACATATTTACATATGTTAATACTAAATTAGATATAGATATACTTTATATGCTTTTAGTGTAAGTGAAGGCATTGCTTCTTATTAAATTATTAAATTACCAGAATATATTGTTTCTTACCGAAGTCGATGACGTTTCATCTCACCATTGACCGATTTACTGAAGAATAATCCTTTTACGAATTCACCCTAACATAGTAAAACGAAATAAAGCTGATAGAAAAAAGGGAAATTCTTAAATTATCAAAAAGCTGTCATCTACGAAGTAAATCACAACATTAGTATCTCGACGGGTGCATATAAGAAATAGAAATGTATGTACAACGTACCTAGCGTATAAAGTCGGGAATCGGTATGATATTAAATAACGTTACCGTAATACCTAGTTTAGGTAACGATGATGTAACATTATTTTAGATATGTTATTATATACACATCGCTCTGATTAAATGTGTACCGGTGGTCACAGCGGTCGTGTCATATCCTCTCAAAATAAAAACATATAACCAGTCATGTCAATCTGTTTGTCTGTTACTGTTCAGTTGACTTTTTAACATATGTAACCAGAAACATAAGAAATAAAGCTCAAGTATATGTGAAGACGATTTTAATCACATTCCTCGTCAAATGTATACTCATTATGACTAGCACTATTTTGTCTGTTCATTTCAGGTCAGTGAGTTTTAGAAAACAGATATTTGAGCCCTGGTCCCGTACTCAAAAAACTCGACTAGGAAACGTGCTACAAAAATCACTTCAAGATAGCCAGAAGGTATTTCGTCTAGTCATTGAAACACAAAAATAGGTTATATCTAAATATACCTGAACGGTCTTCATTTTATCTAGGGTCCTGTTTTCAATTCATTACATTAATTATAATTCCGTGATATTAGTCCTGTCAGTGATGCATGTTCCAATCCTTACAAATGATTAGATAAGGCAACACTTTATAACGATTAAATTACTATAAATCTCTTCGGGATGAGAACTACTAATCGCACGTCATGATGACGTAGATGATGGATGCCATAGTCTACAGTGCTACATAACGGAAAGATCACAATAAATTATCTTTGGAAAAATACATTTCATGAGCTAACGGTATTGAGAGGTTACACGTAGTCTGTTTAGAGACATAGGTCATGAGGTAGCCTACACTGCTAACATAACGGAGATTTGTGTAACACTAGTGATGATGTCATAGCGTATATCATTAGTATAGCGCAAGGAAAAATGTTTATGGATAACACTTTCTGGGAACCGCCGAAAAATTTATTATATTCGTGTATCACACCTACTGGTTACTGACGGTAATATATTAATAATTCATATATCACACTTTCTGGGAACCGCCGGAAATTTATTATATTTCGTGTAACACACCTACTGGTTACCGCCGGTAATATCTTTATAATTCATATATCACACCTACTGGGAACCGCCGTAAATTTATTTTATTTCGTGTATCACACCTACTGGGTACCGCCGGTAATACATTTATAATCCATATATCACACTTTCTTGGTACCGCCGGAAATATATAATACTTCATTTATCACATCTACTGGGAACCGCCGTGAATATATTATATTTTATGTATCACACCTACTGGGTACCGCAGAAAATAAATAATATTTCATGGATCACACCTACTGGGTACAGCCGGAAATATTTAATATATAATGTATTACACATACTTGGTACCGCCGAAAATATGTTATATTTCATGTATCACAACAACTGGGTACCAAAGAATATAAAAATTCATATATCATAACTTCTTGAAATCAAAAAAATGTATAATGTTTAATCTATCACAATTTCTGGGTATCAATGAAAATGGACAGAATTCGTATATAACAACTAATAGGTATCAAAGAAAATGTATTTTATTTCATTTATCACAATTACTTGGTATTAAATAAAATCTATCATATTTTGTAAATTACAACTACAGGGTATAACTGAAAATGGATGATATTTCGTATATCACAACTACTCGGTATCAAAGAAAATGTACAATATTTCGTATATTACAACTTCTTGGAATCAAAGAAAATGCATAATAGTTCATTTATCACAATTACTGGGTATTGAATAATATCTATAACATTTCGTATATCACAACTACTGGGTAGCAAAGAAAATGCATAAAATTCCAAGATCACAACAACTCGGTACCGCATAAAATGTATAATATTTCATCTAACACAACTACTGGGTATCAAAGAAAATGTATAATATTTCGTATATCACAACTACTGGGTATCAAAGAAAATGTATAATATTTCGTATATCACAACTACTAGGTATCAAAGAAAATGTATAATATTTCTTATATTACAACTACTTGGTATCAAAGAAAATGTATAATATTTCGTATATCACAACTACTAGGTATCAAAGAAAATGTATAATATTTCGTATATCACAACTACTAGGTATCAAAGAAAATATATCATATTTCGTACATCACAACTACTAGGTATCAACGTAAATGTATAATATTTCGTATATCACAACTACTAGGTATGAAAGAAAATGTATAATATTTCGTATATCACAACTACTAGGTATCAAAGAAAATGTATAACATTTCGTATATAACTACTAGATACAACCAAATGTTTCATTAGTCATAAATTAAAAACTTATGGACATACATTTATATTTCGAATAGTAGTTGTTGCATACAAACATACAAATTGTAAGTACATATAGTATTTAATGGATAGATATTCATAAATACGCTATACTCATTCCTATTTGACAACCGCTAAATACCATTTAACGGGTTATATACCCGGGCTTAAATTTTTGGCGTTTTGACCCCAACTAGAAAATTAAATTTACAAGGATAAATAACTTCGCGGTCTAGACATGTAAAGGAACAAAGTTCTCCCTGTGTTTTAACACAGAGACGGAGCACACGGCATATACAGTGTCGAACAACTGAATTAAAATGCTTTATAACAGCCTACTGAACAACACAAAGCAAATATATTCACTTAGGCAAACCATCAACAAAGCTTTTAACAAGTATGATATAACCTATTTTTATCATCCTGTATTACCCTTGAGGGTAATGAATCGATACAACCACATACTCGCTATTCTCTGAAAAATCCCGCTAAACGGTAATCAAATCCAGTTTCATCAATTAAAACACAGTTTACTATATTTATTGCATTAAATAGTGACCAACACAAGGAGGTGGCCGCGGTAAGTATTAACCGAGATGTTATATAATATAGTAGGAAACTTTGATGAATATATTTTGAAATAAAAGAGATTCAGCATTAATATTAACATTAATTATTACCGCTTTATCCATTTTAATCAAAGTCTTGAGAAGATGTAAGGTGAAATAGTAACTTATCACGATTCGAGGTCACGATTTTGGAGCAATGCTCGCAGTAAACATTTGTTTGGATCATATAAAATTTTGTACTATGGGACAACGCGTGTATCCGGGTATAACAGATGAGCTGTCACATGACAGAGTGGATGAGTAAAGATTGTGGACGGATGCTGATCACGTTTAACCTAGTTCAACTTCCGCCTAGCCGCAGGGACGCTTGTGTCTATGGAAGGGTCAAAATTGATAAGCGTTTCGAGGCTATAGATTTATCTATTCCTCCTGATGCATTTTCATCAATTAAATTATTTCAGAAATATTCCACCAGGTGGCGATGTAGTTGTGTTGTCAGTTAAAAGCGTTTCCGTGACATAGATGAACTAATCTCCGTTGTACAACTGGTTGGAGATTCACATTGGTGTGCCACTCCACTGGTACAATCGGCCCAGAACAGTCCTACGAGGGGAGGCATCATGAACAAGGTTCTAGGACTCATTGTTTTGGCTTGTGCCACTCTGTACGTGGTCGTCCAATGTCACTACGACTACGGTTACTCAGGGTACCCCCCTAACAACTACTACGGAGGAGGTGCACAACAACAACAACAACAACAATATGGATCAAATCGGTTGACTAACTACGCACTGGCCAGAGCCTATTATGACGATAGGGTTGAAAACAAAGGTTTATTCCGTGGCGGCTCTGTCGTATCAACAGGTAATATTCTTGTGCTTTTAAGTTCTCTTAAATGTTTCAATGTACAAGAGTAATCTTCCTTTTCATGTTAAATTATGAATGCTTACAAATTATATACTGTCTTTTTCATCTAAAAAGGATGATATTGTATGATTAGCATCAAGTAATTTGTTTGACATTTATTTATGCATACTTTTCTTGTTTCGAAATGATGGTCATGAACTTTTCCCTTTTCGCAGAATAGGTTAGTTGAAATAAAACATACTTCTGCGCAAAGTCTCAAAAAAAGGTCATATATAAAGTTATGATATGAATGGTTAAGTTTACGGCAAGACAAAATTAGTTGAGGAATATATATAGCTTTATGTGAATTTCTCTTTATCTATTTTATGATGTGTCAAATCCTTAATAAACCAAACAATATCACACTGCTAGCTCTCAATACTAGACTATAACAGGTCTGTAGCATACACGAAAATAGAGAAATCAGAATTGATCTAATAGCTACATATTATTATATTATGCTTACTATTGATAAAAACCTCTAATTTCACATTGATGTGACTTTATGAAAAAAAAATGATTACAGGAGTTATGTGGCATTCGGTATTTCAGTACTAAAAATGGAATGATGGTTTCTTAAAATTACCAATTTTTGAATGAAAAAAGGTTGTATTTTTTTCAATTATTTGCTATCAAAGTCAAGCTTACGTTGTGTACATTTTTGCAGCTGCCGCCCTTCTTTTCTTATGGTATGCGTTTAACGGTACTGGAGGCGTTCTGGGATGAAACTAAGACCCATTACGGTAGCGTATGTGCCGGGGTAAGTTTAACAACACCTTTGTGTAAACGGCGAAATGACGCATGCAATAACAGTGTTCCTTATTCCATTCACCACCTTACTGAATATCACTCGAATCGCCCTGCATTTTATTCTCCAAGTTACTGACCACCAGTCAACTCGTCCTTTATTTTTGTGTTGCACGTTATTTACCACCAATCAACCAGTCCATTCGTACTCTACTCTATTCTCCCGCGTTACTGACCAACAGTCAACTCGTCCTTTATTGTATTTCCCGCATTACTGACCAACAGTCAATTCATCCTTTATTTTATTTCCCGCGTTACTGACCACCACTCGATTCGTCCTTTATTTTATTTTCCGCGTTATTGACCAACACTCAATTTGCCCTGTATTTTATTTCCCGCGTTACTGACCACCAGTCAATTCATCCTTTATTTTATTTCCCGCGTTACTGACCACCACTCGATTCGTCCTTTATTTTATTTTCCGCGTTATTGACCAACAGTCAATTTGTCCTGTATTTGATTTCCCGCGTTACTGACCACCAGTCAATTCGTCCTGTATTTTATTTCCTGCGTTACTGACCACGGTCAATTCTTCCTGTATTTAATTTCCCATGTTACTAACCAACAGACAATTCGTCCTGGGTTTTTTTCCCGCATTACTGACCAGCAGTCAACTCGTCCTTTATTTTATTTCCCGCGTTACTGACCAACAGACAATTCGTTCTTTATTTTGTTTTCCTCGTCCTGACCACCTCTGGATTTTTGTTGCTGCTATCTCTTAGTAGTTGTGTGATAAATGGGCATATCATCAAGTTCCTTTAGAACGTTAATGTAATGTGCATTAAATGGTAACGGTTTTACGATAAAAAATAGCATCCATCTAATTTCACATCTACACAATGTATAGACTTAAGTAATGCAATGTGTTTTCCACGTCACAAAGGATCTATAACGGTGGCTGCTTCTGTGGGGACATGTGTGTTATACACGTGGTATATTAAAACGAATTTTATATTTAGTTTTAATAATAGATAAATAAAAATCAAGTTTCCTTTAACAGTCAATAGTATAATTTCAAACAATCGTTAGTTTTAGACAGTTTTTGTCGAAGATTTATTTCATATTACTGTATAGCAAGGCCTAAGCATTGTCTACATTATATGAAACTGCCTTAAACATTTTTGCTTTTCTTTACAGGCATCTACTGACGGTCGAAGACCTCTTGCGTGATGTTAAATTATTCCATCGTATTTGCTTGTGTGATCATTAAAATATTCGTTAACTAAGTTCGCTCTTTTTTATTCTTACAAAATGTGTCCGCAAACATTTGTTTATGATATGCTCATTATGCACTTACTATACAAGGCTTAACAGGAGTCCATATCTAGCAGGAAATATATCAAATCGAGCAATAAAATTAACAATATTGTATAAATCTTATTTTTTCATAAACTGAAGTAAAAAAAAAAATGTGCGGCTGAATGTTAAAACAAAAAGATGAATTCCAATAGCATGAACACTTACATGAATTGTAAAGTGGCAAACAAGAAACGAAAGTCATAATCATCATAATTAACACTTAAATGGAATGTAACGTGAACAACACAAAACAAAACTCATAAGCATCATAATTAACACTTAGATGGAATGTCACGTGAACAATACAAAACAAATGTCATAATCATCATAATTAACACTTAAATGGAATGTAACGTGAACAACACAAAACAAAAGTCATAATCATCATAATTAACTCTTAGATGGAGTGTAACGTGAACAACATAAAACAAAACTCATAAGCATCATGATTAACACTTAGATGGAATGTAACGTGAACAACACAAAACAAAACTCATAAGCATAATAATTAACACCTACAGCAAAAATGTGCAAGGACAAACAATATATCATGGGTTTTTGACTGAATACGGAGGACAAATCTAGGATTCCAAACTACGTGTGACACACAACTAAATAATAACTTATGTCTAAGATCGTGTTATCTCAGTCGAAGAATTAAGCTTTTGGAACATTGTCCAACCCGAGGCGAAAGCCGAGGTTAAGACGTTACAGAATCTTAGCACGCGACTGAGAAAACCAGATCCCGCTCTGTCGCAGGTAATCTGTGGGTGATTATAACAAAATTGGGGTTGTTGATTTCAAAATAAATGTATTGCGATCATAATGTATCAAATTTAATTGATGATGTTTTGTAACTCATTTTAAAAGTAGGCCACTTCTGCCACCAAAATTAAATCCCTTACACATTTTCGACATAATCTAATTTTAACTTCATCACCTTATTTTTTCTATCAGTATTACATCCCATTGTCACAAACAAGCACTAAGATCAGAGGTTTATTAGTTGACGCCATATCATCGGCTACCAAAGTATGTTGTATTACATCACATTGACACAAAGAAGCACTAAGATCAGAGGTTTATTAGTTGACGCCTGACGCCATATTATCGGCTACCAAAGTGTATTGTATTACATCACATTGACACAAACAAGCACTAAGATCAGAGGTTTATTAGTTGACGCCATATTATCGGCTACCAAAGTATGTTGTATAACATCCCATTGACACAAACAAGCACTAGGATCAGAGGTTTATTAGTTGACGCCTGACGCCATAGTATCGGCTACCAAAGTGTATTGTATTACATCACATTGACACAAACAAGCACTAAGATCAGAGGTTTATTAGTTGACGCCATATTATCGGCTACCAAAGTATGTTGTATTACATCCCATTGACACAAACAAGCACTAAGATCAGAGGTTTATTAGTTGACGACATATTATCGGCTACCAAAGAAGGTTGTATCAAGAAACTTTCCCCCAAAACTATAACGGCTTATATAGATATAAAGTATTTTTAAACAAATATCACTTCATGTAACTAAATATTCTATTGACATTTTGAGAACCTTGGATGATAGTGTAGTTTTAACCGAATATCTACGATGATATGAAATGAAGCCAAAAACGTGGAAGCAGCCACATGAATACTTCAGTAAATCTAATCAAATAAATTTCAATGGTGGAGTGATATTGCAACATCTATTGCAAAAAGACTAAATGACTATTAAAAAGACGTAGGAAAATACACAATAAAGTGTCGCACCTAACGGTATGCATCTTATGCAAATCAGACTCATTTTAAAGATCGATATTGTGCCAATGAGTTGGACTGACAGGACAAAATCACAATACCACAACTTCATTCAGCGGGGATTATAAACATGTGACAAAGAGGTTTGAATAGCGTCAAATTAAGCAAAGGTTATAGTCATTTATAACTAGTCAGCAGTGACCTACTTCAGTAATGTTTGTTTCAAATAGAACATTCATGCATTGTAGTTGTTACTACAACAAGAATAGTTTGAAAATCAGCATTCCAGTCTTTCTCAAAGTTCAGAGACAAAATAAGCTCTTACGACTTATTTTCAACTTCAACCTTTTTTTCTTCTTTGCAGTGACCTATTGATAAAACATATACCTCGTTTTCGTGATGACCTTACCCTATATTTTATTTCTACAAACAATAAATACGCTTACCAGCTATGGCCAACTTAAGAGTTACAGTGTGCATCCTTCCTTTAATGAATTTCTTATGTTTAGAATTAACGTTCTCGCAACAGCTGAAGTCAAATGAATACGCATATAATTAGATATATAGGGTATACGCATATAATTAGATATATAGGGTTCAACGATATGTGACAAACGTAAATCAAAACTTTGGTCTCTTCGCAAACTCTTTATTTATACAATAATAAAGGCACATCTTTCACAGAAATACAGAATGTCTTTCACGGAAATGCAGAATGTCTTTCACAGAAATGCAGAATGTCTTTCACAGAAATGCAGAATATCCTTCACATAAATACGCAAGAAAACTTTGGCTGACTGCTGTAGACCTGAAAGTAATCAAAAGGAAGATGTTCAAGTGATGAAATGAACTGATCAATATTAGGACACAAAGAAGAATATTCCACTTTAACATGGTTCCAGAATCACATGACTTTTCCATATTGAAATTAATGATATTGGTTTATTTCATTATTAATTGGTATCATAAAGAATGCGTAACTAAACTGATCGTTGTGATGCTTGGTATTAATTTGATTAACGTTTGCTATTAATTAACGATAGATGTACATTGGTGTTACATTTATCTTAGAATCTGTGTTTAATTTTCGTACCTGGTCTCTGTGTACTTTTCTGTGTAACTTACCCCTGTGGTTGAACAATATGTGGCGGTGTAGGTTGATATTTCGTTTATCCTAGGATCTGCCCGGTATAGTTAAATAGGAACAGAACGACAAAGAACCCGATGACTGTAAGACAAACCAAAATAAGTTAAAAAAAAAAAAAAAAAAAAAAATAGTATATACACACTGTCAAAGTACTTCAAATAAACAAGATAATTCATATTATGAAAAAATCGTTGAGTATAAACATTTGTGTTTTTCATGGTTGTTCTGAAACCACAAAAACAAATGTAACAAATTTATATTATAGTCCTGGTCGTTGTTTGTTCAATTCGGGGTACATATATCGACGAACCCTAGGGAAGAAAGGCCCAAAAACATTTCACGCTATAGAGTGATACCTTCAGTCGGGTTTTTTTGTATATATAACCTATATTAGAGAGAATTATCTTTCGGCGTTAAATTTTGAGGCAAATCAATTACGAATCAATTTTCTCTGAATCTATTCCTACAAAAACAGGGGCAAGTGCTAACAAGGACTTAGTAATAGGAACCGTTAGGTTATTGACAGTATTTAAATACCATACCTTTACCGTTCACAGTATATTTGTACAATATCGACTATGTGACGGTGGTTTTCAAAAGTAAACCGCCACGTATTATTGGCTATAATACAGATGGGTGCGTGTATTATTTTCCACAAATCATGCAAATTAAAACATATTTCCAACCCTCCGCCCTTAACCCTCGGACCTTAACCCTCCGCCCCCAACCCTTCCCCTCCCCTTTTGTTTAATATTCACAAAAAATGACATGATTATCCTCCTTGTGCCCCTAAACAAATTAAACTTGAAAAAAGGAAATATTTTATACTATAATTGTGCAACTTTAAACGAATCAAATACATATATAGTAACCTTAATGATTAAGTAATTAAATATCAGCCATAGTAAGATTTAAATCACTAGTTAAAGTTAAATAAACAAAATAGTTTATCAGATCCGTTATAAATACAATGTACACAAACACTGTTGTACTTACAACTACTAAAGATGGCGGCCGTCTTCATCCTCTCGCGGTCGTTACCGTAATAGCCTCCGGCCTGGGAGCCTATGTAGGGATACCCTCCGTATCCGCCATACATTCCGTACGTTCCGTACGTTCCGTACCCCCCGTATCCCCCGTAATGACCCTGGATGGTCTGAATCAGAACAAAGGCCAGAAAACAGGGGATGACAATGAGGAGGATCCCTTTGTTCATCTTGTCTTGTGATGAATTCGGACTAATTTCTAAATTTGTCCAAGCTTGTTTTGAATCAATAGACAGATTAAGCAAGAGACTGAATTTATCCAACTTTATTGGTCCTATTTATACGTTCTGCTTGTTTTTCTGTGTGGTACATTATGGCGGATCACAACTCCCCGTAATATCTATCCTTGTATAACACAAGGACATGTACCTTTCCTGTGTAACCATGCCAGGGGCTAGTAATTAACTTATCGTAATATTAGTACTACTGCTGATATCTCAATAGCATGCCTCGTCGTCATGTACGTCAGCACAGCACAAACTAACGTGAAATGTTTACCTTATTTTACAATATAATCTTCTCATTCATTTTGTTCTGTGTAGTCTCTGTTGTTTTGTCTTTTTTCTGTCTTCTTGTATCAAGTTGTACGTGGGATTGTACCTTTGTATATATTTAATTTTGACCATAGTAGGGGGTTCTCCAGTTTTAGCTGGGTTAGACCATAGTAGGTGGGTTTTCCAGTTTTAGCTGGTTTAGACCATAGTAGGTGGGTTCTCCAGTTTTAGCTTGATTATACCTTTGTATTTGGTTTCTCCAGTTTTAGCTGGGTTAGACCATAGTAGGTGGGTTCTCCAGTTTTAGCTGGGTTAGACCTTAGTAGGTGGGTTCTCCAGTTTTAACTGGGTTAGACCATAGTAGTGGGGTTCTCCAGTTTTAGCTGGGTTAGACCTTAGTAGATGGGTTCTCCAGTTTTAGCTGGGTTAGACCTTAGTAGATGGGTTCTCTAGTTTTAGCTAGGTTAGACCATAGAAGGTGGGTTCTCCAGTTTTAGCTGGGTTAGACCTTAGTAGATGGGTTCTCCAGTTTTAGCTGGGTTAGACCTTAGTAGATGGGTTCTGCAGTTTTAGCTGGGTTCGACCAGTTTTAACTGGGTTAGACCATAGTAGGGGGGTTCTCCAGTTTTAGCTGGGTTAGACCATAGTAGGTGGGTTCTCCAGTTTTAGCTGGGTTAGACCTTAGTAGGTGGGTTCTCCAGTTTCAACTGGGTTAAGTAGGCGGGTTCATTTAGTTGGGATTGCACCCTCGTGTATCTTTCATTCCTTGTTACCATGGATACATTTTGTGTTTTGTTTGATAATGAGGGTTGGTTGGTGGTCTCTGTCTCCAACATTAGCTTCGATTGTTCACTCGGGTATCTTATGTTTTACCTTAGGTCTTAATGGTTTAGTATGAGTCTAGATTGTATTTTAACGTAAGGTTCTGTGTGTTTAGTTGGAAGGTTCTCAATTGTAAACTTGTATTGTGTTCCCAGCGACCTTTTTTAATATTTGTTCACCTAAGTTTAGCAAGAAGATCATCTTTTGTAGGATTTCCTTCCCTGTTGGTGTTGTTTTTGTTTCCTTGTCTTTTTATATTAAATTTGATGCTATGGTGATTTTAATATTATCATTTAATTATTCTAGCATTCATACATATCAATAAGTATATATTCATTTCATTTTTAGTTTTTACAGAAAAAGAATTATAGAACAATAGATTAAACAAAATAGATACATATTTAAAGGGTTATTCACAATTGTATATATGTATGTAGGTACTAAAAAAAGACAAAATATTAGTTGTAATTATTGAGGGTTGGGTGGTGGTCTCGGTCTCCAAGTTAAGCTTGTATAGATTTTTAGGTATCTTTTTTTTACCTTAGGTCTTATCGGTAAGTATGGGTCCCGATTGTCTTTTAACCCAAGGGTTTTCTATTTCATATTTTATTGACAAATTTTATTGTCCACATTGATGATCTTACTTTACTGTTAAAGCATAAAATGAAGTAACAAACATCTGTTTGTTTGGATCCGGTGGCCATATAGGAACATACTGTTTTTATTACTTATGCCTACATGTGTGAGTGATTTGTTGTTGTACATGCCACCTCCTTTGATACAGTTTTCCACCCCAAAGACGCGCACAACCCTATACCACGTTCGCCAGGTGGATGCCAAAATAAAAAGAAATGGCCAGATTTGGATTCGAACCCGGGACTACCAAACTGTAGACGGGCGCTATACCAATTGAACTACATGGTCACCAGCGTTCGACCCAGTCAAGCTCCACCAAATTATAAAATGGAAACTTTCATGTTGGCTTAATTCTTATTTGCTTATTATAGGCAGATAGTAATTATAGTATGACAGGCGGAAATCATTGCAAAAAACTACTGGCCGTCACATAAGACGAGAGAACACATGGTTGTGGTGTAGTTGTTTAGCACATTCGATATGATTTTCTCCGATACATTGTATTCAATCATAGGGTTGAAGTGTTTAATTTTAATGAGAAAATTAAGATTGACAAAACACATGTTGATATATCAATTTCAAATGATCTTTTAATCAAACTACAATTAAAGCATCTAGGAAAAATCATCGCATTCTCTGTTTCTTTTATTAAAAATTGCGATGAAATGACAATTTTAATGGTTAATGTAATTTTAACAAAAATGTTAGAACTTCGTAATTGAAATACACTAATATTTTGGATTTTCAAAATAGCTACGAAAATTTCTACAAAAAATAATTATCTAATTTTCGGACAATTTTCAGATGCATGGAACTCTTGAAATTGATCCTAATTTGTTATAATTAATGAAACTGTTACATTCTATCAAAGCGAGATTTGAACTTGAATTAAACCTCAGAGGAGTAGACCACTAAACTGAAAAGAAAATGAACAACGTTTCTAATGTTGGTGTATTCAATATGTCATTTGTTTGGATGTTTCCTAGGTTAACTGGGGCGCATGTAAACAAACATGACATAATAAAGTTCAGATCAGGTGAAGGGAAGACAGCACAAAATTATTATGCTATCAACCCTAAGGCGGGACCAGTCAAACATAATCACAACCAAACATATTACGTCATCAAGACCCTAGAAACGATCGTTCAATATACGACGAACTTCAATACGTAATCAGAACTAACAACAACTATATAAACTGAAGTGTAATTTGTTTAGTCAGTCTCCGAGTCTGGCTGTCCTGAGAGATTCAAAGATTCAATTATTTATAGTCTCTATTGACTGTAACAAAGTCAAAGCGTCAAGATGAATAAGACTTTGATTTTGATCATGGTCCCCTGTGTGGTTATGTTTGTTATCATACAGTCCAGTCAAGGTCAATATGGATACTCGTATCCTGGTTACGGTGGATACGGCGGGTCCGGGGGGTACGGTGTCGGGGGATACGGCTCCAATGGACTAATGGGGGATGTGAAGAAAGGATTGGGCTTGTTTGGAGGCGGTAAGTACAACAACAAAAAACACTATAAAATAACAACATAATTATGATAAACGTTAAAAGCACACCATGTCGATACAATATGTTTACTTTACCTTTTCAATTTTCCTCGTTGAAAATCATAATCCAGACAGTTGAAAGCTAAACCTAAAATGATAAGTGTATTTTATGTCAAAAAGATAAATGGGTTGCCTTTGATCTTCTTGTCACACAGACAAGATAGTATCTTATTTCTGAGATATCAAGATAACAAGATAGAAGTTATTCAATCATAATACATCATAAAATAACAAATATGATTATACCGGTTGTGAGATTCAATATTCCGATACTACATCAGTAAATATTTATTTTTATTTTTACAAAAACAGTACATTAGACTTAAGAGGATCAAAGGTGAATTTTCAGCGAAGAATGGAATATCCCTTCGGATTGTTTTCACTTTAACCGTTAAGAGGTATTAACACTTCTATTATGTACTGGAACCGTACACAACACCTATGTTAAGGAGACATTGTTAGACAATGTCAAATTCTTTGTCAAGAGTTATGTTCACAAATTCAATATGAGACCTCCATGCTAGGTGTGGATAATTTTGATTATACACTTCCGGTATTAGTGGTGTCTCACTTTCTCTTTCCAGTTATGGGTGTTCTCCTGTTGTACTTCCTGTTCAACGGTACTGGACAAGTGGCCGGATAGAACGGATGTGATGTCATATATTTACATGGAATTTCAAACAGCATGTACAGGGGTAATAAGCATACGTTGTTACAATATTTAAAAACAGTTGTACATGAATATAGTTTGAACTAGTGTTGAATGACTTTACTTGTTGTCACCTGCGGAATTTATCAGGATAGTGAAGCATGTCTTCATCGGTATAAACTAGGACGCATTCAGTCGGACAAGAGAAAGTTACAATAAAATCACGTTTAAAACAGGAGATAAATTTCAGGAAACTAAGTCATGTCACATATTACATGATGTACTTAAGGTCGACTGTTGGTAAAGTAAGATTGTAATGGATAAAGGGGATTTCAACAAGAGATCACCTAGCTCGGAGCTGACTGTTTCGTTCATGATTCTTCAATATGTTTCAGGAAATGTATAGTGAGTTTCTAACGTGACGTTCCTTAACATTTTGGTGTATACAGTTTAGAACCAACAATGTCGAAAATTGGATCCATATAATTTACATAATTTGATGCCGACTGATTAGTGTATTGCTGGTTTGATATTATCATTTGCTTTTATTTACAGGTCAATCACGCAGCCAAAGAGTTATCGCACATCAGAATATTTAATTGCAAATTGTTTATTGAAATAAAGATGTTGAATGTTGTACAAGTGTTTCATAGTTGTTTATCACCAATGCGCTATTCCGTCTTTGCGTATTGCAGAGTTATCTTCTCTTGAGAGCAGGTATTGATTGTTACGTCATTGGTTTATGTGAGAAAATAACGTCGTTTTCTCAAAAAATGATGACGTTACTCTCAAAAATAAATGACGTAACAATCAATTCCTGATCTCAAGAGAAGATAACTCTGCAATACGCAAAGACGGAATACCATTCAGATTGTGTCCTATAGTTTAGGATTTAACGCAACAGAACACATGTAGTTATTTGGAGACGTTATCTGGTACTTCAGAATGATGTTTCTAGAATCACACGTAGGCATAGTCTTTTGTCAAAAACACTAAGTACATCTGAACACATGGTGAACACGACTTTAGACACGGTTAAAACTGAAAAGACAACTGTAAAATTTAATCAACATAGAATGTCGGCTAGACATCT